GTGCACTGTGTGCGAGTGTGTGCCTGGTACCTACAGAGGCCGAAACAAGGCATCATGTCCTCTGGAACTGGAGTTTCTTTGCAGTTATGAGCTGGGAACCAAACCCAGATCCTCTGCAAAAGCAGCCGGTGGGTTTTTTTGTTTGTTTGTTTTGTTTTGTTTTTTGAGACAGGGTTTCTCTGTAGCTTTGGGAGCTGTCCTGGAACTAGCTCTTGTAGACCAAGCTGGCCTCGAACTCACAGAGATCCACCTGCCTCTGCCTCCCAAGTGCTGGGATTAAAGGTGTGCACCACCTCCTCCCAGCTCAGCCAGTGTTCTTAATCACTGAGCCATCTCTCCAGCACTTTAGATTGTCCCTGTGCTGTCTTCTTTGGTAGGATTCCAACTCCTTGAATATTCCCCAACCCAGCTCTAGAGTGCCTGGTATCTACAATACACACACACTGTCGGTACCTATGGGCATAGAGTAAAGTGTCTAACAGGACACAACTGAGGCTCCCAGAACACAGGTCATTTGTGGAAAAGTGAGTCTGACTGAGAAACCTGTTCTCCCATACCTAAGCTGCCACTTTTGGGATGAGTGTTTAAAAAACCCTTTGGCCCAGGTACCTTCCTGGCTGTGGAATGGGGACAAGGCCCAGGTGAGTGCAATGATGGGATTATGTAGGATACACTTTCACCCAAGTCCTAAAAAGGCTAATTTCCCATCAGGAAGTCACATCTCCTAAATGGCAGCATTTGTGGGCACAGGGCAATAAAAAAATCTGCTTTTCAAGGTTGTTACAAGAATGTACAGAGATGGTACAGTGAGTCCCCAACTCAATCCCAGCACAGAAAGAATGCCTGATCAGTGAGCACTACTGCACTGCACGGCAGGCACCTAGTTTTGTCAAGGCAGAGGCGGCTAGTGCATAGGTCATTGTAAAAGACACCTCTGGTCTGGAAGAGACTGCAGGGTGTATGGGACCAAGGCAGGGCTAAGCCCAGGGGAACCAAGAGTGCAGCTCTACTGACATGGTCATGGCCCGGAGCCAGAGAAGGCCCTAACTGTGGGAGTCAGGGGAGGCAAACAGAGAGGCATGTGAAAAACTCCCTCAACACCCTCACCCAACAGTCACTGCCAAAGCCTGTGGCAGAGGAAACAAGAAGCCACCTCAGGGGAGGGATCTGAACTTGGTCTGGGGCCCAGGCCAGATGGGGTTGAGGCGAGGAGCAGAACCCGGGCCCATGTGCCCAGCAAGCTGTGCCAGCCCAGTCCATGTCAGCCCAGCCAAATTTGAGTTATATCAGGAGAAAGGATCTGTTCAGAAAGCTCACCCATCTCTGCATATTTGCATATTCTATTTTGGGGTCTCTCTTCCTTTTTTTTCCCCCTAGCTTCCTAGAAAAGTTCTCGTCATCAATTCCAACTTCACCTCTGTTGAACTGCAAATGCTCACTCAATCACCCACCTCCCGTCACTAGCGAGGCTGGCCAGAGATCCTTGACCTCCTTGCCTCCACTGCCCACTACGCATTCAGGGCCAGTTCTTGCAACTCAGCTCTAGCTCCATTGTAACATCTCCCCAAGGTCACCAAGGCACGAGTCCTTAAGCCCTCCTGTGACCAGGCTTGCCTAGCATCCGACATCACTGACAGTGTCCTCAGTCCATTTCCTTCTGCTCCCCTTTGGTGACCCCTGTGGTCCCCTTCCCAGAAGCAGACCTCCTTCCCACAGCTCCCAGTCACCACTTCCCATACAGCCCAGCTCCTTTACGGGTATCTATTTTCCTCCACATTTTCCTGGAGCAATGATTTACCTCCTCCTGTGATGTCAACACAACCTTGAACTTTAAATTTCCTGATGACTATCTCAGCCCAAGGGCCGCTGCCTGGCTGTCTTGGAGCACCTCAAGCTCACCGTTGTCCAAACTGGTCGTGCATTCCACACTGTAACCCCAGTTCCTTAGTCTTGGCAGCACCAGCATCTACCTACTCACATCCTGCCTCTTCCCCTTCCCCACCCCCAGATCTGGTCTGTCCTTCACACCTCCCTTCCCTCCCTCCACCCAGCTCCTCTGCCGCAACTTTGGTTGCAGGCCCTACAACGTCCCATCTGGAGATAACAAACCTTCTCAGTGGCTGCCTATCCGAAGTCTCACTTCCCACAAATCCAACCTCCACACAGCTGTCAGATTATCTCACATACAAATCTGGTCCCCCACCCCCACCCCACTGTCCTGCATAAAGACACTCCACAAGGCAGGACTCCAGGCAGATTACGAGGCACCCAGAAGCCTGCAGAGTCCTGAGTCTTTTCTGTCAGTGCAAATACCTCTCTCTCAACATCAACCCCAGGACCATCAAGGACCCTTGTAGAAGGGTCAAACATTGTCAGAGTGGGCCTCTTGCATAGTGAGTTCCTCTGAGCACCCCACTTTATTCGGAGGAGAAAACCAATGCTCCTCAGCCCACTACAGCACTCACCACCTACTCTTCCCCATCTCAGAGACCACAGCTGAAGAAAGAACACAGCTGTGGAGTGGCTTTCTAGCTATTTCCTAACCGTGGGATTGTTGACAGGATTTCCCCTCTGAACCTTGTCGTCTCCATCTATTTAATGATAATGCTAACGTACACTCTCCCTAAGATGGGAGTCAGCTTTAATCACGGCAACTATCCCCCAGGCTCTCTTTTACTGCCAGGCCAGACCCCAAGTCCATCAAAGTAACCTACTACTTCAACCTTGCCAATTGAGTCACCAACCCAGAAGCCAGAATGACCTTTCTGAAATGCAAATCTGCTTCCCCTGTTAAACTTTTGATTTCCTATGGTCCCCAACTTTCTCTCCGCATCCAAAGGCCCACCTGGGTGACATCCTCGCCACTCCTAACCACTCAGCATGTAAGTTTCCTTGCCTGCTGCCCTTCTTCCTTACCCTTCCAATCTAGCTCCAGGCAGTTTCTCTCAACATACACATTCCTAATCTAAGCGAGCTTCCTTCCCCACGAGTTGTCCAAGCCCAACCTTGGACTTTCCTGGCCCAGCTCTCATCAGGGTTCAGTGGGCAAGGTCTGCCTGTCTTAGCGATAGCACAGTTCTTCACGAGCAAGGAGGCCACCATGTTTACACAACACAGCTCACTGTTTGTTGGAAGAGTGAAAAGCACAATGGTGAGGAAGGCATCCTCAGTCCACGGAAAGCCCCAGGCGCAGAGGGGCACTTATCAGGCTCAACATGCACTGTTTAAAATATGACCACAGGAAGCAGAGCCAATGTGCCAAGCCCTTGAAGGAAAGACCTGACAAACAGGGGAAACTGTTCAGCTCAATTCTGGGAAGCCGGGTAACAGGTAGCAAGAGTTGTTCCAGAGAGAGCAAGGACACCCAAATGGTCTACAGCAGAAAGGGACGAGTGAGCCAGGCAGAGGAGGCTGTCACAGAACAGACAACAGCGCTAGGCAAGCTGTAGCAAGTGGACCAACCACTGGGACTTGGCCTTTCCTTCTACCACAGAGCAAGAGAGCCTGGGCTCAGGGCTGGAGAGATGGCTCAGTGGTTAAGAGCATTGCCTGCTCTTTCAAAGGTCCTTGAGTTCAATTCCTGGCAACCACATGGTGGCTCACAACCATCTGTAATGAGGTCTGGTGCCCTCTTCTGGCCTGCAGACAGAATATTGTATACATAATAAATAAATATAAAAACAACAACAAAAAAAGAGATGCTGGGCTCAAATAGAGCTTCTAGGTCTTCGCTGCCATTCACAAGGCAGGGCTCCATGCACATTATGAGGCTCAAAAGCCTTCTTGGCACCCAGAAGCCTGCAGAGTTTTGAGTCTTTTCTGCCAATGCAAATACCTCTCAGTATCTACCCAGGACTGTGAAGGCAATGTGGAAACATCCAACATTTTCAGAGTAGGTAAAGAACAACGGGTGATGAGGGCGTCTCTCCAGTAATGTGTTCTTTTGAGCACCTCCTCTTACAACTATCACTAATATAAAGGTCATACGGAACAGGATGTGCTGGGGACCAAAATCAGGAGGGTAGTTCAAAGGGACACATGGGTTGACCAAGTACTAAGACTGTACCAGCGGACAAAATGGCACAGACCAGTTCCACGAGGCTCCTTGTGGTAGAAAAGATTATCGATACATTCATGGAGGACTTTCTGCCCCAAGAGGAGACAAACAGGAGCCAAATGGCTATGAGTGGAGAAGGTGTGAAGGGAATGTGTGCCGAGGTGAGGCCAAGGCAGGGCCAGACCGCTGAGCTCCAGCCCACCCACATCAGTTCCAAATGAACCCAGCAACACTAACAATAGAGACATTTCCCCAAACAGGTGTGAAGCACACAAAGCCCACTCCGTCAACTTGGACATGTCTATGATGCTGCAGGAAATGCCCCAGGGAACAGTCTTGGGGAAGGAGGGCACAGACGATGAGCAGCAGCTGGGAGCTGGTGCCCGCTCCAGTATTAAAGCTCAGTTGTTTGTACTGTTGCTGGTAGTATTGTCTTCATGCCTTTAGAACACAGGAAAGGGACACGCCTCGTGGAGGCTGAATCCTGGACTACAGTGCATACATCAGAGGATGATTGTTAAGACACCGCCAGTGTAGGGACATGGAATCATTTGACAAATATTCTCTGCTGCCACACCCAGATTCCACCCACCTGGTCACTCCCTAGACTTTAGCCACAGGTGGTAGTCTCTTCTGGCCTTATCTGAAACTCAGCAGTCACTACAAGACTGGTTGTAGCCTGGCTCCAGCCTTAGACCCTAAACACCAAAGCACATGGGTGCTACTACTAGGGACTTGTCTCTAAGGTATACATGGGTATTACACACTACCCCCATGACACTGGTCCAAAACTTCCTAACCAGGGCCCAAACCAAATGTGTGTGTATATGTGTGGGGGTCAACCTGATCCCTGATGTCACAGTACCCAAACCATACATCTTGCTTGCCCAGCTGCTCCCACCAGTTGAGATCAATAGGAAGGTCAAGCACTGGACACAGCAGGTGAGTAGACCATCAGATATATTGGAGGGTAGGGGAGCTGGAGGCAACTTCACAACTGCCTCCTTCTAGGAATCGCCTCTGCAACTTGTTAGGCACTTGAGTACAAAAAGTTCATGGGGCTCCTCCAGCAAAGATCAGCTCCAGGGCTGCCTGGATGTCCCCTCCAGTTGCCTGGAGGGCGCGGAGGCTCAACTCGTCATCCTGGATGCCCATGTCACGCAACTGCTGCAGCTGAGGCTGCCACTGGCTCTGTGGAAAGACAGGGAAGGTAGAGGTGTTAACTGGGCTCCCAATGGAACAGTTAGACTTAGGTTGTTTCCAGGATAGAAAGGAAGAGAAGAGACCCACAGAGAAACTACTGCCACTCAGGACGGTACCATAGGTGCTTCAGGAAGACTGAAGACATACTGAAAGGTAAAGAGAATAAATGAAGTTTTATAGTAAAGAAAAAGCTCCGGGTGATGGTGGTGCACCTTTAATCCCAGCACTTGGGAGGCAGAGGCATGTGGATCTCTGTGAGTTCAAGGCCAGCCTGGTCTACAAGAGCTAGTTCCAGGACAGGCTCCAAAGCCACAGAGAAACCCTGTCTTGAAAAAACAAAACAAAATAAAATAAAAGCAAGCACAGACTACTCATATCTAAATTCCAAAAACTTATTATCTACACACACACACACACACACATATATATATACACACACACACATACAATGAGGAATAAGTTTAAGTCAGAGGTGAGGTCAAGGTAGGGCATCCCTAATTCAAGCCCAGTGAGCCTTTAAAAAAAGTAGCTGTAGAAGTTATGAAAGTATAGAGAGGGCCATTGGGAGGAGGCTGTCCTAAGACAGGAGTAAAGCAGAGGCAGGTACTATGAAACCAGAGAGAGGGCACGCGGGATGGAAAAGTTTAAACAAGGAGGAGGTGCTGAGACAGAGGAGGAAGCTGATTAGCCAGAACAAAGTCACATGGAGACCTAGTAAGCATACTTTTCATGGCTGGGAAAAGCTGCTCCTAGAAGCTATTGGTTATTAAACAAAATACCAATGCCAAAGGTGGGATACCGATTAGGGAGTTACTGGTCAGGGAGGCCCCAGAGGCCCCCATAACAACACAGGTTCTTGCCATCCCTCTTGGTTACCAACCAGAACTAAACAGTAAGACCCTATTGCTGCAAACACCACACACTTTGGTAGCACAATACAGAGAAATAATGCTGGGACTGAGCCGGAAGCTCCCTTCCTACCAGATAGCTTTCAAAGTTCCAGAAGACACTATGCAGGCTGCTGAAGGGAAAAGGCATCAATGGTTTTATCCGTCTGTGAACCCTACAAACTAGGAAACCATTTGTCAGGTAAGATGTGCTCCACTTGAACAACAGTGACATTGCTGTAACATGGTAAAACAAATGCTCTATGATTGGCTCTGAGGCCTGCTTTATAGGAGAGAGTCTACATCTGGTATGGTAAAATCTGACCAAAAACTGCATGCTTGGAAGATCATAAGCCCCAAGGGGAAGGGGACTGAATGTTGTCTAGATAAACTGACAATGCACTAACTGCCTTCTACTTATTTATGCTTATACACACAGACAAATGTTCAACTAGAGAAGCCTCTCCTTCCAGGGAATGGTGGTGCATGAAGAGAGTCATGGCTGGACAAGGTGCTCTAGTGCTCATCCCTAAAACCAGACACTTACACCATCCCTCTAAGGCTCAGAGAACACTTCAGAAGGGGGTGGAAAGGAATGAAAGCACTGGAAGAAGGACTACAAAATGTCATCCTCTAGGCAAGACACAACCATTGCAATAATGAACTCAAAGCAGCTGTGGATGCCTGCACTGACTGAGCCTGCACAGAAAGGCTCATGAAGACTGGTAAGATGGCTCAGTGGATAAAAGTGCTTGCCTTGTGAACCACATGATCTGAGTCCAATCCCTGGAACCCACATAATGGTGCAAGACACACACACACACACACACGAATATTAAGTTAAATGATATAAAAACAATGGGCCTATCAAGTCAGGCAGAGATGGAAGGAGGGCTGGTGGGCATCTCTCTCAAGGCTGAACTATTTATTATTGATAGAATCAAGGAGAGGGGGAGTCATTGCCTTCAGTTGTGTGTCCACTGGTGACCCCAGGCTCCAGTGGACAGTTCCAACCCAATGCTTACACAGAAGACCTAGTCAAACTAATGAGACACAAACAAAACCCAAAGTCCTGAATCTGGGAAAGACTAGCAGTGGTGTTGGGCAGGACTTGATGGGGTTAGAGTGGGACATAGGAGAGCAATCAGAGTACGTCATACACAATACGTGGGTGAGACTGTCAGAGAACCAAGCAACAAAAATAAATAACCTGGATTTGTTTTTAAAGTTTTTCTTTTCTTTTGAATATTTGATCAAGAATCTCATGTAGCCCAGGCTAGCCTCAAACTCACTATATAGTCAAGGATGCCCTTGAACTCCCCAACTCCCTGCTTTCACCTTCCAAGTGCTGAGATTACAAGTACATGTCATCACACCCTGCTTAAGAGTTTTGTTTACTATGAGAGTAGTGGGAAGTAATCTTTCTATGTTGGTACACTGTATTAGTCAGGGCTTCTGCCGTTGTGATACAATACCATGACCAAAAGTAACTTGGGAAAAGATGGTTTATTTCATCTTACAGCTTTTAAGTCCATCACTGAGGAAATCCAGAGTAGGAACTCAACAAGACCAGAAACCTGGAGGCAGGTGGCCATGGAGATATGCTACTTACTGGCTTGCTCATCATGGCTTGCTCTGCCTGCTTTCTTATAGAACTTAGGACCACCAGCCCAGGGGTGGCACTACTCCCACTAGGCTGCCACCCCCCATCAATCACTAATTAAGAAAATACTCCACAGGCTTGTGTATAGCCAGACCTTATGGAAGGAATTTCTCAATTGAGGTGTTCTTTCAGATGACTCCAGCTTGTGTCAAGTTGACATAAAAACTAGCCAGCACATACACACACACACACACACACAAATTTGTTTTTGTTTTAAAGAGTTTTCCTATGTATATATAACACAGGCTAGTCACCGATTCATAGTATTCCTACCTCAACCTTTTAAATGTTGAGATCACAGTGTACCACCACATCTTAATACAAAAAACTATTTAGTAAGCATTCCAGTTCCCGGTTGGCTATTTGCAATTTGTTGCCATTAAAAACAATGCAACTCTTTCAGCATTGTCCAACTGTCATTTTCTATATACACAAACATCTCTAGGACAGCTTCTGAGAAACAGAACTGCTGGGAACCCTGTGTGCATACAGCCACACTTCCTTCTCAGTGACTAGTCTATTCATAGCCTTTCCCAGTTTTCTAGGAAGTGGTGGGTCTTAAGTTGCTCTATTTTAGGAGGATGTGCCACTTGTCTGATAGGATTACAACTGTCAGCCTTAAGACTTTGCTTGGTTTTGCTGTTGATTTTTCGGCTTTGGTTTTCCAGGAATGAATTTTCACTTTGACAAACTCAAAATTTAGCATGACTGTATATAATGGCTCCTGGATTCTGAATTTCACCCATGAGTTTTCCCTGCTGTAAGGACTGAAAAAGATTTGCCCGTGTTTTTTTCTAGTACTTCAGTTTCATTACTGCTCACCTCTTCCCAGATAGGGAATGTACAACTTATGGAAAACTTCCCATGTCAGGAGACGGCAGTGGGGAAAAAGCGCAGAGGCAAACAAGGGTAAGGCTATGGAAGGCAGAGAAACGCAACGTGCCATCTCAGCTTTGCTTTGCGCCAGGTAGTCAGTGAGAGCTTGGAGCTTTGGAGCCCAGTGAACAGGCATCTGGCTGGAGATGAAATTGAAGCAAACACGGGCTGTCCAACTCACTTGCACTGCCCATGAATACCATACACAGTCATGAAAATCACATAGGCTTGTGCTCTGTTTTCAGAATGATGCTTCCAGCACAGAGTCCCTGCGAATCAGGCGTAAGGCAAACAGCTCAAACTTGAAGGTGAAAGGTACAATGCTGACACTTCGATGTTCCACTCAGTTGCTAGGGTGACCTTTTTTTCTTTAAGGCTTCTAAGGACTCCAATAACTATCAGATTAAACCTAACCTCCTTGGCCTCTTACACCAAGACTTCTACCCTCTTTCTTTGATCCCATGTCAGGATGTTCTATGCCAACACGGATTTCTAACTATATAGTTTTGAGTACATCACAAACACCTATATGCGTCTGTTCTCTCAAGCAGTTGCCTCTGTCTAGAAATTATCTCCTTCCCATCACAAACAACCCTTCCCCTATCTAGCTTACCAAACTTAGCTCTATCAATCAATCAGCTTAAACCTTTCTCAGTTTTGCTGGACCTAGGTCCTCACTCTAAGCAGCTGAGCTTCTCACCAAGATGTTTCTCAAATGTGTTACTGCATGATGCCCCTCCAAGGCAGGGACAAGGATAGGCTCACTTTGAGCTCACCAGCTCAGCCTAGTCCTGATAGTAAGTGTGCTCACGGCTTAGTCAATGCCCACTAAATCAATGATTAACTAAAACTTCCTCATGATCACAGGAATCAGGCTAGTCACTCAGGCAAGAAGGAGAAGCTACAAGAACAACTGCCTTTTCTGGGAAGGCTCACCTGTCACACTGCCATTCATTTGCCCCTGGGGTTCCTAGAGGGAAGGAACTAAAGTGTGTAGAAAAAGGCTCAGTGTGTTAAAGTAGGAGACTACATGAAACCTCAAAGCGGGGAGACTCACCTGAAGGCTGGGCTGCCCAGAGGCCTGCAGAGCATGCTGGAGGGCTTGGCTGAAAAGATCATTGGTGATGGGTGTCCCTGACTGGACACCAGAAGACATTGGCGAGGTGCCTGAAGAATGACCCTAGATTCAAGTAAATAGTCAGCATTGCTCCAGAGCCATCTCAGTTTCACAGCAGAGAGTCTGTGCTGCCACATGACCCCATACTACTCCTGGGGTAGCTAACTGGGGTATCTAACTCCTGCCTCCCAACAGGGGTCTGTTATGAGACAACCACACTACATTATGGGGTACCTAAAATCAATCTATGTGGACATAAAAGGTTCCATGCTCTTTGGCTCAAGGGAAAAGGACTCGGAGACCCCAGGCCCAATCTAGAACCCCAGTATTGACGTAGCTTTGAAGACAGCAAATCACCATCAGGAACCTTAGTCCAGTGATATGTATGTAGTCCCTATTGGGGCTAAGAAAGAGAAAACACCTAGACCTGTGCTAAAACTGGACTTGAAAAGGGGAGTCACCTGAACCACAGTTGAAAAATCCCTACCGGGCCCCAGGACTCAGTGCAAGGAGACCTAGCACCAAGCAGCAAAGGTAAACCTAGTCAACCGCAGGGAGTTTGCAGTGGGCAGCCTGGTCTTAACGTTCCCAACTCTCTTCTCCATACCTGGGTGCCAGGAGTTGGTGTGTGAGAGCTGCTCTCTGGAGTACTGGCCAGGGCCAGGGCAGTGGCCAGCTCACTCTGGGTGATGGGGCGGGGCCCAGCAGCTCCACTGTACCCCAGAGAGGCCGGGCGGGAGCTGGGTGTACTGCTAGAGGGTGTAGACCGGGTGCTCTGGAAAAGAGGTATCCAGAATCAGGATAAAGGAAGGAACCACACCCATCCCCACAGTTCCCACGAAGACTTCCTAAGGTCCCATCTTTCAGAAAGAATATGACATGGTCTTGGCCCCCAGAGGTCCCTGTGACCACTTCCTAGCCTGGGGAATAGCAGATCCTAAAGAGAAGCTGGCTCCCAGGACCATCTCCCCCAAGGAGCCGGCTGCCATGCCACTCACTGGGTGAAAGTCATCCTCATCATCCGAGAGCCCGTCAAACAGGAAGCCACCTGGAGGAGAGTGAACAGATTCCAGGAGGAAGAACAGAAAGACACCGGCGCAGCTCCAGATCTCAGCTCAAGTTACACTCCAAATTCATATTTCATCTCTCCCCTTGGAAAATTACAGGACAGATGCACTTCCTGACTCATGCCCTATGCCAACACTATACATAGCTGCTGAGTAAAGCAAATCCCTGGGCCACTACCAGCTCCTGAGGGGCCTCACCTGGCATATCTCGGTACGAGCTGGAGGGCATGCTTCGGGAAGAGGAGTCAGCTCCTGGCATTGGGGTGCTGCCTGCTACTGAGTGCAGAACCAGGATGATGGCATTGACTAGGGCTGGGTGAGCAGGCACCAATCTAGAGGAGTGGCAGAAAAAGAACGATTAAGGAAAGAGCATCCTTTTCCATGACAGTATGGGTGACTGTTAAAGCAGAGCCTGCCCTTAATCCCTTAGTCTTCAGCATGATTTTGTTTTGTTTTAGTTTGAATTTTGGCTTTCAGATAGGGCCTCGCTCTATAGTTCTGACTGGCCTAGAACTTCCTCTCTAGGCCAAGCTAGCCTCAAATTTATTGTGATTGCCTCTGCCTCCAGAGTTCTGGGATTACAAGTCCATGCCTCACATTTAGCTCACTCTTCAGCATCTTCTGCCAGGAAGTTTTGTCATCCTGCTCTTCTGCTCTTAGCAGGGTCGGAAAGGATCTAAAGGCAAGGCATGATGGGAAATAGAAACGAACAGTTTGGTAGGCTCAGGGTTCCAAACTGGGTGCAGACACCACCTCCTATACAATGGTAGTCTCTGATGACTCCTTTCTCTTCCTAAAGCACGGTTCATTTCTTCACTTGCAAAATAAGGAGACACGGCCACTCCTGTCCTTCCAGCTCTAACATTTTATGGTCCGATACCTAAGTCTACTTTCCCTAGCTTACAATGCCTGACATTACTCATGAAATTCACCTGGCACACGACCTCTCCCCCCTCCCCACTGCTTCATCGGGACACACTTCATGTGCCTCTGCCCTTGGGCTTTTCTATTCCTTAAGCAGTCCTAGCTGTTCCTCCCACCTCCACACATTTAGAAAGCAGACCTGGTGACAGACTTAACTGGTTCCAAGAAGAGATCCCAGGGCAACAACCAGGTTTCTAACTGACCGCATGAGGGATGGTACTTTACAAAATGATGGTTATACTTACGTATCCAGCATGTTGGGATCAGCAAAGACAGAGAAGAGGTCCTTGTCCTGGAGAACCCCTGGAAGAGACCAAGATTTCTCTTAGACAGTTGAAATCTGACCATATCCATAAGGAAGAAGCAGCATTAAGTCTCAAAGCAAGCAACTCAATGGGACCCCAAACCAGCCCTCCTGAGAAAGGAAGAAACGAAGTCGAGGGCATCTTATTCCAGTGGGAATGCTCCCTGTCCCCACATTCTCCTGCACTTAGCACAGAGTTGCGACAGTGGGGGTCTTAGAGCCCTTAGGGGCTAGGATTATGGAATGAACCTTGATCATGTTCCCTCGCCCCTCAACAGCAGTGCTTCTTCAAAAGATGGTCAGAGCCTTCTTTTGCTACTAGTTTTCTCCTTTTCCTTACATTTCTTCAAATCTTTTCTTGTACTTACCTAGGGCAATGGGGTCACTGCTGAGGCCTGGGGTGGCCACAATGATCTGATCTAGAGATTCTTTATTGCTGAGCATCTTAAAGACCTGCAGAAGAAACAGGGATGGCTTAGAATTCCACCTAGTGCCATACAGTCACCAAGTGCCCACACTCTCCTTGACTGACTTCCTCCCTCTGAATGTTTGCATAGAATGCTTGTCTACACACCACCACAAGGGAACAGTCTCCATGGTTCCCCACCACCATCCCAAGACCAATAACAATTTCTCCAGATTCATGCTCCATACAGTGACTACTTTACACTGGTATATATTAGAAAGGATGTTCACAGCTGCATTCATTCTGCCTGTCAACAGCTCATTTCTTCAATGGGGAAATTCATGCTTAAGAGGTGACAGACAGTTCACCAAAAGTCAAAGATCAAGACCCATCAGTAAAAGTATAGGGATTCTGTAGCAGTAACCATACTCAGTTCACAAGACCAGTCTGAGGAGAGGTTGTCTAAGCAGCATCATAAGGAATCAACAACCAACGCCTGACTGAGACAGGTTTTTTTGAGGAAAGACAGGATTCTACTGAGGCCCACAGACATGGCAAGAACTCTCAAAGGATCTCTTGGTTGTCGTGGCAATGTGCTGTCAGCTCCCGAGCTGAACACTGACCAGTGACAATACCATCTCCTGCAGTCTAGGCTGGAACTCACCGCCTCCCTGTAGGAGGAGCTGCTGTGCAGGGCGGTGTGCAGCACCCGGAACTCCCGCAGGGCAGTGGCTTTGTCCACAGGTTCTAGAGGAGAAGACGCTAAGTTATCCAGTAGCCCAGGCACTGTCATTACCACAGATGTGGAGACACTTGCTCTATGGAGTCCCTTCCCTCATCACCCTCCAAAACTGTGAGTACCACCTCAGAAAAACTCATTTGTGTCACAAATATGAAATTTGTATAGTCAATAAATTATCTTTGGTACATAAAACAAACAAACTTCCAGCAGAGGGGGATCTTACCACGTGAAAGAGGCTTTTCTGATCAACAACCCACTGCAGGAATTCTAGACTTCTTACATTTGAGAAGGAAGAATGTATAATCAACTCAGTGGACTCTTACGTAGAGACTTAAAATAAGTTCACTCCAAGCCATCTTAACGATATAGCACTATGCTGACACAATATGTTAAGAGGAAGAAATAGAACACAAAGTTGGATGTGCATTCTCTGGTAAAACTATGCAAAATATGTCAGTCTGCATATGGTCCAAGGCTGGAAGAAGCAAGAAACAGAATAACATTTTCTAGGAGGGACAAGCCCATGGGTAATTCTTTCTCCTTTGTTATTTTCTTTAAAATTTCTCTATTTCTTTTTAGGCATCTTTATTATTTTTTATTTACTTATCTTTTAATTATTATGTGTATGAGCATTTTGCCTATATGTATGTCTGTGTACCATGTGAGTGTGCAGCCACCAGATTCCCTGGAACTGGAGTTACATTTGATTGTGAACTACATGCGGGTGTTAGAAATTGAACCGCGGTCCTCTGGAAGAGCGGAAAGTACTATTAACCTCTGGGCCATCTCTCCAGCCCCATAAGACTATTTTAATTCATAAAAAGACAGAGAAATTGGGCTAGGTAAAGCATATACCTGACAACCTGTGCTAAGTCCTGTTTTTGATCCTAAGCACCACAAATAGACAAATACATAAAAAGAAGCCACAATTAAAAGAATCCCAGTAAAGACTAAGGAAGCACAAGACACTTGAAAGCACCGAACAAACTTTTATCATGTCCCAAATAGCAACTTTTTTGATTTCTGGACACTGTGATCTACATATCCAGCAAAGTCTAGCAGTAGTCACGCGGCATTTGGTCACCTGACTATCATAACCCATTTCACAGGGGAGGAATCTGAGGGACAAGAGCAGGTAGGAAGTTCACTTTGGGTCACACTGTAGTATGGTATCCTTAGGATAATCTAGGCTACATAATCAGACTTTTATAAACTACTCTGTATGCCTGGAGTTTAGCGCAGCCACTATATTATGATCATGAGGGCTGTCTCCTTTGGAAAATAGATGCCACAATAAATTAACTTATTCAACAAACTGAACAAATCAAGCATTTATCTTGTATCTAGCTTTGGGCAAGTCACAAGAAGGAAAAAAAAAAGAAATAAGAGTCCATCCCATTAGGAATTCTTAGAGCAGTAGGAGAATGAAACTATAAACTAAATCCAACACACAAACATACAATTATAAAATGTCATATTAAGGTCCTGGGGAGAGACACAGAATGCCAGTAAGAGTGCTAGCCATCACTACAAGTAAGACTAGGGCCCAATTTGCCTCCTGGGAAACCATCCAAGAGGGGAACTTAAGGCAGAGTACAAGTTTACTGGAAAGATGGCTTTGACATCTAAGTGAAAATATACAGAAATGTATGGGAGAATAAGAAGGGGTTCTTGATCTCCAGCACTGCCAAGAAATAAAAAATAAATTAAGCTCAGTATGGTGGCATATACTTCTAATCCCGGCCCTTTGGGAGCAAAGGAAAGACTACAAGTTCTAGACTATAAAATCAAGTCCTGGTTCAACATATACATATAAAATAAAGTGAGAGCCTTAGGGAACAGCAGCATGCAATGGAGACCCCCCCCCCCAAAGTGATTCAGCCAGAAAAAAAGAGGCTGGCGGGTTCTCCTCCTACAGTGGCAGCTCTGGGATAGGGTGCTGTGGTTTGGTTTATTTCTATTGCCTGAGACAGAGTCTTACTATTTAGATCAGGCTGGCCTTTAGTGAGCAACCCTTCTCCCTCAGCCTCTGTTATTCTGTGACCACAGAATTTTATCATCAAATCGACCCACTTTTGGAAGAAGAATGATGCAGGAGAAAATATCTAACATACTATCATTTTAAAAACTTCTTTTTAGAACTAAATTTAAATTCACCTCCCAATAAAAACTCCATTTGTTCCAAAAATAAATCTGCAGATAACACAGGGAAGAAAAGGTTCTAAATACCCTAAGTATAATCTTCTAAAAGTAATGGGTGTCTCTGTAATATCCTTTGGGAAAGAGACAGCCAGGCCAGAAGAAAACACAAAGGCTTGTAGACCAGAATAATCTAGGTTTATATTCCAGTTCTAACTCATTTTAATTAGGTGACCTTGAATAACTATCCTTCAGGTGACCTTGAATAACTATCCTTCCAATCTTTTTTCCCCACATATAAAATGATAGAATGTGATTAAGTAAGATGCTGAACAAAAACAAAAACTAGCTTGCAGAAACCACAGCCACTCATTTTCTTCAGTCAATGCCCTGTAGCTGAAGAGCAGAGGGACAGACCTGGAAATGAACAAGCTGGGTTCAGTGCTCACTCAGAACATAAGAGGAGAATATATACCCCAAGAACTGCAGAGCATTTCAATCTGAGGATATTAGAAAAGTCAGAGAATCTGGGCTTTGAAGGATGATTCTGGGTAAAACACAGTTTTGCTCTAGGGTCAATTTTATGATTAGGCTCTTAATAGCTTTATTCGAGAAGAAAGGCAAACGAGAGCTAGGTGAAAGCTGTAACGGCAGAGGCAGCAGTCACTCCCATCAGCCAGGGTGAAGGGATATGTAATTTCTTGTGTGTTTAGGTAATGAGTGGGCTTTATCTGTCTAGAAACGGTAAGGATCTTATTTTTCACTTGATCCACGATGGTCTCAGAATGTCCTTGTCTGATAATGGTGACCCTGTAACAATGGGACTTCAAAGCCCGGCTGTGAGTGTCAGACTAATCCTCGGATGTCGGGCTGCTTCTCTCTCTCACTTCCCATATGGATACAAAGATGTTTTTGTCCTTAACATTTAAAATTAAAAAAGATAACTTTCAAACTGACAACTACTCATAGGAGGCACAAACAAGATAAAAGTATGTCAAACTGCTAGTTTAACAAAGCAAATCTCCGGGTGATGGTGGCGCACACCTTTAATCTCAGTATTTGGTAGGAAGAGGCAGGCTGATCTCTGTGAGTTCGAGGCCAGCCTGCTCTACAAGAGCTAGTTCCATGACTGGCTCCAAAGCAACACAGAGAAACCCTGTCTTGAAAGACAAAACAAAACAAACAAATAATAGTTCCAGGACAGGCTCCAAAGCTACAGAGAAACCCTGTCTCAACCCCCTTACACTCTCCCCGCAAAAAAGAATACACAGGCTCTTCCCTTGGTGACATCAGGAAGCTCTGCTTATCTAACAGAGGACAAACCCTCACTTACCAGGTTTCTGATCAGGCTCAGGCCAAGATTTGCGGAGAACATGGACTGTGGACCCAGGCTGAATACCATAGAAGTCAAGGGTCTGGTCATCTTTTAGCTTCCGGCCACAATAGATCAGATCTACAAAACAAACAAAAAAAAGAAACCCAAAACCCAAACTGCCCATTTATATTTTGTTTCTCAAAGCAATTTGGTTTCTGTCCTCTGAGAATCTTATTTTAATTAGACAGCTCTCAGGGTCTAAGGAAATAGTTCAGTGGGTAAGAGCACTTGCTCTGCAAGCATGAGGACCTCAGTTCAAATCCCCAGCACCCACACAAAAAGCCAGGTAACCCCAGCAGCTGAAGGTAGGCAGGCTGAAACCAAGAAACTGCTGGTCATCTAGCCTAACTCAAACTGCAAGCCTTGGGTTCAGTGTGAGATCTTGTCTCAAGGCTGTAAAGTAGAGCAAGAGAGGAGAACATGCTATGGTCTCTTCAGATACATGCATGAGCGCATGCTCTGAACACACATACATACACCACACACATACAAAAGAAGATACTCTCTCAGGTGTGTGACACACATCTGTAATCAAATCTGTAATATCTGAGAGGATGAAGCAAATTTGAGGCCAGCTTGGGCAATTTAGCAAGATCCTGCTTTAAGACATTAAAAAAAAAAATCATAGAAACAGGCTTTAGGTACAGCACAGTGGCAGACTGCTTCCCTAGTATATACAAGAGCCTGTGCATGTTGCGGGGATATGAAGAAAACACATTTGTTGCACGCCACGCCTTTTATCCCATCAGAGGAAACAGGCAAGCAGTGAGTCTGGTCTATATAGTGAGTTCCAGGCCCCTCAGGGGTACAAAGTAAGACCCTATCTCAAAAACAAACAAGCAAGTAAAACCCAACATTTTTAACAACTGTTATTAAGTACAAATGCTTATTTAGGAAATTTATCCACAGAAAAGCTCTAGAACTCAATACTGTAGAGAGTACTTAATCTAAATAAATGGAAAAAAAATGTAGTAACCAAAGGGGATGAATCTAATTCACCTGTGATAAGAAATATGTTTTTCACCAGTTGGAACCCTTGACTATCATAAATTACACTTATAATCTAATTTGACTAAACTATACTTAAATCCCTCCTTCCTCCACTAGGAATGCCTTGCCAACCTCATTCCTAATTGGCTGCCTTCCCTTCAATCTGCCATTAAGACAAACAAAAATTCTTCTAGTTATTCCTTAAGTCTTAAGTGGTAGATTGAGGAGTCTTGTCTCATCAGCAACTCTGTGCTCAATCTACCACTAATTTTGTTCTCTCAGAGAAAAGACCTCGACAATGTCATAGTTAAGAGTCAAAATGAAGGAGTTTAGTGTAACAAAAAGTGACAAACAATAGTTTTGTCATAGGTTTTGCATTTCTGCTCAAAGAAAACTTAGTCTGCAATGTTACCATTAGGAGGCAACGAATCACAAGCCCTTAATTTACTCTTTTGTTTGTTTGTTTGTTTGTTTGTTTTGTTTTTGTTGTTTCTCTTTAGCTTTTGGAGCCTGTCCTAGAACTAGCTCTCACAGAGAACTCACAGAGAGCCGCCTGTCTCTGGCTCAGCAGAGCTGGGATTAAAGGCGTGCGCCACCACCACCCAGCTCCTTATTTACTCTTTAAAGGTTTCTTCCGGAGGAGGCCAGAGCAGCAGCCCAGCTCCAAGACTCACCAATCAGCTCTGGGTCTGGAACAGATTCCTGGAGCTTGCCAGCAATAAGCTGCTTTAGAAATGAAATGCTATAGCCCCCTAGCGAATATTCTCCCAGTTCTGTCTCTGGCAACTGAAGAATTGATTTGGGGGCGAGCGGCTGGTCAGCCAGCTTCACTGCCAGATGAAAGTCTGAGAGAGACATCCTCTCTCTTTCGCGTGCTCTCTTTCTCCCTGGAAAAGAATAAGGCATTAAAAGCTAACGGCCAAACAACCACCCTATTCATCTCCTACCTGCAACCAGGCTAAATGAAAGATAATCTCTGTGCAATAGTGCTACAGAGCACAAGGCGTAACATTAGGAAGTTAAAACTAGCACCTCGTGTCCTCCCTTTATTCCTCCTACAGCATGTGCCTCAGTTTCTTCACCTTTAAAGTGGACACAAAAGGCCATTCTGACAGGAATGTTGTGAGGTTCAAGCATCATCACCCAGCATCCCTTTTACACACTTGATTTCTGGTTTTCTTCTTCAATTTTTGATTTAGCTATTACAACAGCTTTAACAAGTCCTTGCCTTTCTTGCTTCCTCATCAAAGATCCATGGCACCACCCACCATCTTATTTAAAACACAGGTCTGGCAAATGACTTAATGCTTTGAAAGCCTTCCTTGACCCCAAAGCACCTTTGTGAACAGGTGTGAAGGTCACCGCCTGCAGTGAAGACCCAATCATTCTAACTCCTACTTGCTTTCTTCAACAGCCCCAGCCCTGCCCCAGTATAACAACAGTAAGTCTCCTTCATAACAAAATTGTCCCCACGTATACCTCTGCTCACCTCCTGTCTTTGCAAGTAAGTTCTCTTCCCTTTTTGGTCTCTTAGCAAAGTCCTACCAAGACCCACACAAATACATGGTTTCCATGCCCTCTTTTTTTCTTCTCTTGGTCACACATTCCCTGTTCCCTCAAGGGAAAAGAGCAACACAAATCAATGGATTTGAGGACAGGCGGTTGTCAGCCAGCTTCATTACCAGATGCCAGCCTAAAAAAGTATTTTTCTCCTGGTTGTTTTTTTACTTGCAAGACTGACTTCTCAATTTCTCAACCCTTCCCAGATCTGTGACCCTCCCCCCATCTCGAATACCTTGGAAGCCAAGACTACAAGACTATAGAGCTTTTCTAATTCACTGTCCCAAGCCTGACATATATGAATATCCACGAATTAAATCGAAAAACTCAAAGAGTGCAAAAGCCTTGCAACACAAGTCCTTGTTATAGACACTAGTTCCAAAGACACCTCTTGAGGTATAGACAAGGCTAGGAAAAAGCTGTGATTCTACCCAGCAGACCTCAAGATACTGTCTACTTTCGACTTAAAGCGAGGAAAGAGTCGGGTTTCTTTTTTTATATAGCGATCTCGGTCCTCACAGCTGTCCCCTGGGGCAGGCATTGTCATCCATATTTTACAAATCAGTAATCAAGATTCAGCTCAAGTCACTTGGCCCAAGGTCACAGATACCTAGTCGTGAGTAGGGACACTGTTGGCAACCCCACCTCTCCCGTGGGACCAGTTAGCTACTCCAGACCCACGAGAGCCCCGCGCGCCCAGGGGGGTCCAGCGCCCTCACCCGTCCCGCGGAAGGAACCCGGCCGCAGAGAGCCGCCGGTGTAAACACTCACTCTGGCCCTCTTGCCGGAAACCGGAAGTTCCGCGCTGCATTCTGGGGGTTATAGTTTTCGCTGAGGCCCCGTCTCTTATAAATGGCCGTCCAGTAACTAGTCGCAGTGCTTCTGGTTCCGGGAGGCGGGACTTCGAGCAGTTTGAAATCCTAGGTGCGCGGGGGTTCTAATTTCCTGTCAGACAAAATCCTACAAGCTGAGGTAGGAAAATTTGGTGTGGAGTTTCGAAAACAGTCAGCAGCCCGGTGGTTCTCGCACTTTGCTGGGATATTTATGAAGCCTGTTGGTTATTCCGGGACGAACCACTCCCCACCCCGAGGGGGACCCGTTCCTACGTGGACAGGCTCCCTGTGGCCCTTCCAATGAAGATGCTGTCCTCCTGCGTGGTCAGCCTCCTGTGTTTTTTTGCTCCTTTCACCCAGGGAACCTACCTTGTGGTGGCGCTCTAGGGCTCCAAAAGTTGAGTTCTTAAGAGGCATGATTAAGTTGGGATTCTGGCACACCGTGAACATGCAACAATGGGGTTTATATCACAGTCATTCATAGAATCAGTTTGGGGAGGGGAATTTCCATTGAACTTTCATAGAGAAACTGTTTACGATGATTGAGAAGCTTCTACTTGATCAAATTGAATTGTGTTTGCACAGAAGTTAGAATTAGCTAAAAATCAGAAAGTACTGATTGAACTCAGGAAATTAGTTCCAAAACTAAGGAAAACAATAACCGAAAAAGAAAGAGAGAAAGAAAGAAAAGAAAAGAAAGAAATTAAGGATGAAGCTGTGAAGTTGAGGGACCAGTGAGGCAATGAGATGGCTCAGCAGATAAAGGCACTTGCCTCCAAACCCCAGGGCCTCCTCCAAACATGGTGGAAGGATACAACTGACTGCACAAGACTGTCCTCTGACCACACATTCCCACTGGCATATATGCACACACAAAATATAAATATATATATATATAAATTGCAATTTTTATAAATGAAGTTGTTCATAGTAGCTGAACACTGATTCTGTGTATGCAAGTGTAAAAGTTGTGTTCTTGCATACTTCACTCTAGGACGGAACTAGGACAGTAACTGAGCAGGACAGCTTGACAGAAAATCAAACTACACATAATTATCCCCTCCCGTTCTTATAAAATATGTGTACAGTTCCCAAAGTCCCTCTTCCCTATTATATCCTTCCTTAGATGCAGCTCCTCTTTCAGGAATTCTTAACTGAGCAGCCTTGTAGGCAATTTCCTATCTACTAAAGTACTGACACTTAAACTTCATACTTCATTCCATTAAATTTGGTTTAGTACTTAGCTTTAACTGTTTGCCAGACATGTCAGGAATTCTATCTCCTTTTGTGTTCTCAAAATGGAGCTGAATGCTCGTGAAATTCTTTTGTTTGATGTCATCATAATCTTCATGAAAAAAATGAACACTGGCTTGTTTATTTTGTCTTCATAGTTGACCAGGTCCTGAAACATAGTAGGTTAGCAATAAATATGTGTTAAATGAATAATCCAGGCCAAAGCTATTTATCAAATATGGCTGCCTTATTGTATGTAGCCTTTTGCTCCCAAGAGGAGATGTCGATTGCACCATGATAATGTTGTAAGTGGGCAAATTAATGAAGGAATAAGCTAGGAACAACAAACAGGTTCTGTGGAAACCCAGTTATCAAGTAAGCACTGTGCTGCAAAGCAAAGAGAGAGAGAGAGAGAGACAGAGAGAGAGAAGAGAAGAGAAACCTGGGCACAAGACAAAAATAGATATTTGGCAAGAAGGAAAGAGTTCAAGACCAGGTCCTTCAGTCAGTTCGTATTTGGAAATATTGATACCCTTGTCAGCTCTAAGAAAATGCTGAATTCATTAAACGTTCAAGAAATTATTGGGCCTAGTCAGTAATTCTATTGAAGAACAAATTGTAGGGATGGACATTTAAATTTTTATTAGTATTATTTGGGGGGAATGCATTATGTTCATGGGTGTAGATGTGAATGGGTGTGTGCCATGGCAAAAGTGTAGAGGTCAGGTGAAAATCCAGGTGATGGTCTGTGCCTTCCCATTCTGTTTGAAACAGGGTCTCTTCAATGCTTTCTAAACCAGGCTAGAGAGCCCAGGAGCTTCTGGAGAGTCTCCTCCTCCCATCTCCTGGTAGGGGTGCTCTGGGATTATAGATGCCTACACTACTACCTCTGGCTTTCTGTATGTTCTGGAGATCCAAATTCAGATAGTCAAGCTTTTGTGGAAAGCAAATGCTTTTACTCACTAAACCATCTCCCCATCTCAACATTTTTATTTTTGAAATAATGTGTAATAAGCTTATAAAAACATGAGGATTGGGCTGGGGGGATGGCTCAGAGTTTAAGAGCACTGACTGTTCTTCCTGAGGTCCTGAGTTCAATTCCCAGCAACCACATGGCTCACAACCATCTGTAATGATATCTGGTGCCCTCTTCTGGCGAGTAGGCATATATGCAAACAGAACACTGTATACATAATAAATAAAAATCTTAAAAATAAAAACATGAGGATTTCTGAGTCTTGCAAGAAAATAATTGAAACTCATCTTTAACAGTTACTGCTACAAGCACAAATGTTGGAGCTGGACAAATGAATCAACAGTTAAGAGCAATGGCTTATGTATTATTCTTAAAGGCTTGGTGTCTCCAGTATCTTTGTCCATTTGTTTTCATTCAGATTGACGTCCTATTTGATATTTCTTAGTGTTGTCTATTGTTTTCTTGGTGACTTTTTTTTTTGAGGGATGCATTTTCTACTCTTTTTTATGGCCTATTATTTCAATGAATATTTTTGTGTGTGATACTTCTTAGGATATATGGATGTTGCTAGCGCTATCCCAGTGGATTAATACTTGGTTTGTCAAGATCCATGGGGCAGACTATGGATATCTCTGGGTGGTCAGTGGTGGCACACGCCTCACTAGGGAGGCAAAAGGCAGGCAGATCTCTTTGAGTTCAAGGCCAACCTGATCTACAAGAGCTAGCTCCAGGACAGGCTCCAAAGCTACAGAGAAACGCTGTCTTGAAAAAAAAAAGAGAAAAGTTTGAACTCAGTTTTTTGCAAAACGCAAGCTTGAGGGTTCACATGATAAAGAAACTCTCTCTCATACAGGGGCCCTTTCCAGACCCCTATCCTCAAAGCCAAGCAGAGAGAATTTCCCTTGTCTAATTGTAGTGTCTAATTGGTTTTTTTTTTTAAATCTGGCCTTCCTTTTAGCAAATATTTTAAGAGTTTCCACTTCATACTGAGATGATTGGTTTCAATCTCTGAGAGGCCCCGAGCCCCCAAACCAAAAACTCCCAAGCGAGATGTCCAGAACCACAGATATTTATAGGGAGATACACGTTACCTCTCCCCTCTCTGGTGTTTTCACTTCCTCTTTTATCTTTGACATCTGAGAATTTCATGATTCTCCTGTAATTATAGCCATGTGACTTTTAATAAATGTATTTTGTATAACATTTGGGGATTTTTAAAATTTTGTTACGTTCATTGGTGTTTTGTCTACATGCATGTCTGTGCACCACATGAGTGCCTGGTGCCCTTGGAAGGCAGAGAAGGATGTCAGATCTCTTGGGATTGGAGTTACAAAGGTTGTAAACTGCCATAGGGATGCTGGGAATTAAACCTGGGTCTTCTGGAAGACCACCCAGATCTCTTAACTGCTGAGTCATCTCTCCAGCCCAAATTTCTGTACCTTTATATATTTTAAAATTTATTTATTTATTTATTTTTTTACCAGGCAGTGGTGGCCCACGCCTTTAATCCCAGCCCTCTCTCTCTGTAAATTCTCTGCAGATCTCTGTAAATTCAAGGCCAGCCTGGTCTACAGAGCGAGTTCCAGGACAGAGGCTTCAAAGCTACAGAGAAACCTGTCTTGAATAATCAAAACACAAACAAACTAAAATATTTATTTTAATCATATCTGTATGGATAAAAATAAATCTGTATAGATTTATGCATGTGTGTCTGTATGCCACGTACATGTAGTGCCAGAGGAGGCCAGAAGAGAGCACTGACTCTTTGGAACTTGAGTACAGATGATTGTTAGCTGCTATGTGTGCGCTGGGGGCTGAACATGAGGCCCAGGAAGAGCCAGTGCCCTTAACTGCTGAGCCAGCTCTCTAACCCCCAATCCCTGTACATTTAAAGTAGGCCTTGATATCTGGTAACACAAATTCTTCAACTTTCTTTTGTTCTAAATCGGGCATGACTATTTCTTACCAACAGATGACAATTGTTACTTTTTTTATGCTCCTAAAATATATATAAACTTTATTTTTGAACTAACTGTGCATGAGCAATATATCCAACTAAATATATGCAGTCAACAAAATTTATACTGCACATTTGTTTGGTAATCTACATATTTCACTTAACTTGAATATTTTTACACATGCTGAAATTGTCTTTTGAAAAAGTGATGTTTTTACTATTTCCAAGTTATTTTAAGTTGATAGTAAAGTTGCAAAAATTATACAAAGTGGGGGCTTCAGATATGGCCCGGTGGTTCAGAGCGCTTGCTGTTCTTGCAGAGAACTAGAGTTCAGTTCCTAACCCCGACATGGTGGTTTATAACCTCCAAACTCCAGTTCCAGAGGATATGACTCTCTCTTCTAACCTCTGCAGGTAGAAGTCCCACAGGGTAAATATGCGTGCAAGCAAACACTCATATACATAAAAATAAAATATTTCAAAAATTTTACAAAATACTTGTTCCTACACTTTACCCAAAGTCCCAATTGTTAAAATTTTGCTTTTGCCTTATCCTTTCTTTATATATGTTAGGCAAGTGCTCTACCACTAAACAACATCCCTGGCCTTCTACCCTCTACACACACACACACACACACATACACACACACAGAGAGAGAGAGAGAGAGAGAGAGAGAGAGAGAGAGGGAGAGCATTTAAATTTAAATGATC